GATCACTTTCCTCTTTGGCCCCATAATCTTCTTGATCAGAAAATTTGGGACACTACCGAGGTACATGACGTTACAGTACAAGTTCTCATATGTATCATGAGATTCTTAAATTGTTCTTTGTCATGGAAGTATTTAACTTGTCCATTATACTTGAAAGAGAGTTTTGCAGAGTATATCAGTCTGGGTTGAAATTTGTTTTCTTGCAAGACTTGTAGTACTTTGTTCTATGCTTTTCTTGCCATGATGGTTTGTGAAGAGAAATCTGCCATCATTCTGATAGGTTTTCCTTTAAACGTGATCTGTTTATATTCTCTAGCAGCTTTTAGTATACTGTTCTTGTGTAGAATTTCTGGGATCTTGATTATTATATGTTAGGGTATGTTTTTACTTGGGTTGATGTTATTTGGAGTTCTACATGCTGCAGTTGTTTGAAAGTCAGATTGTTTCCCCATATTTGGGAAGTGTTCTGCTATTACTTCCAGCCATATTCTTTTTATATCATTTGTATTGACTCCTTCTTTCTCATTGATGTCTATTAATCTCACATTGTTCATCTTTTCATTTTCTTGCAGGTATTGAATTATTTTTTCCTGCATCCTACTTGTTTTTAAGAGATCTTTTCTTACTTTTTTACTAGTGCAATGGTGCCTTTAAAGTCTGAAAGTATATTTTCATTTTCATTCAGACAGTTTTGTCAGCTTGAGAATGAGTTTTTAATTTTTGTATATCACTTGGAAGCTGCTTGATGCATTCTATATCTTTCCTATATTGCTTATTCAAGGAATCCATCATTTTTATATTCTGATATATTTTTTATCAGTGTCTTCTTTTTTTTCTTTTCAAAGTTTTATTGATAAACATATAGCAATGAGACAGTTTCAAATCAAATTGAAAGTACAGTTTCAAAAATAATATACTGCATATATTCTTCTTAGTGGTTAATGGCTGCACAAGATGCGGACTTGTGATCCTATTTACAAACACCATTAGAACTAATCATTCTATTCATTAACAGAGTGTAACTATATATCTATCCCAACCACTTTGAATACACAGATACAAAATGGACATTCATAGTCATACCCCAATTTTTTAAAGTTCCGGTATTGAATATTACAGGTGTGTAAACTCAGCGAAATATTCTAAAAGAGTCCAGTAGACCATAATAGCATTGGGACTACTGTATAACTGGCAATGTCAGAAATTATTGACCTGAGTCCCCCACAGCTCAACATAACAACATGGCTTTACTTCTTATATTTCATCTTCATACTTTTCTACTGGATAGTTAAGACCAAGGTAAAGCAGGACCTGTACAACAAGAGTTGTAGCTTTTTGGTCAGAGAGGGTCAGTGAAATGCCCTCAGGATTTATCCTGAGATCCTGTACCTCAGATTGTAGAATCTTTGTCAGTGTCAGCCATGTGGATGAGTCACGGCCAATGCTT